CTTTTTCAAAGCAATACGAATACGTACCATAAGTTCCAGTTTTGCACCGTCTAATTACAACTTCTCCTCCAGTTCCTCTCCCGCTCCACAACTACGGGCACCATTCCAGTTTATTAGTTCCACATTTTGCTATGTAACGCTGAAAAGAGTACTTTTTATTTAAGCTAAGTTCAAGCATCGAGTTCCTCCATGTTTTTCAACACACCATTGCGAAATGAACCAGTATTGTGCTGATTTCTGTCATATAAAGACTTTCCCACGGCATTGCCTTATTCCAGGATCATGCACTACGTGGGAGGGCTTGTACATAGAACGGCCAAACTTTTCCAAAAAACAATTTGAATTTTTTTTGTCCCTAAAAAGTGACTTTACGACGCCGTTTTGCTAAATCCCTTTGGACTAATTGACAAAAAGATTTGGAAGACTAGATAATATTGAGAATGGTAAAACAAAGATGGAAAGATAACTGAAAACAAGCCTTTCTGCATGTAACCTGAAGACTGGCTGAAACGTAAATATGCCTGTATCCGGAATTCATCATTTGAAAGGGTCCCAAATGACGAGTTGTGCTGATCGGCCTCCAGATCTGCAAATTATTTCACCGTTGAGTCAGAAAGGTGGGGAAGAATTTAGGTGTTCCTTGTTCTCCTTACCACATCCTCGAGGATGATGAAAGCTCCCCAAGCCGCTCGTTTCCTCCTGCTCAGCTCTGGAGATAATTGGTTCACGTCGTTCCTCATAAACACCTTTTTTGTGAAACATAGTGGAAGCCAGATCTTTCAACAAGCGTCAACAAAGTGGGCTTGCATTCGTTCCGCCTAAAAAATATTCAAACAGAGACCCATAAGTTGCAAAGCAATTCAAAATGCTGACGGTAACGTGCCTGTGTGATGGACCATAGTAACGTGTAGTAAATTAGCACTATTCACATACAAATAACGATAAAGCAAAGTTACTTCTATCATTCGTTAGTGCTCACATGACAAAAGGAGCCCTAGCTGTTGAAAAACTATTGCTTGTTTAAAGAAAAACCATCAAGTCCAAAAAGGCTGAAAATTAGGCGTCGCCCAGTCCGCAACAAACCCGAGATTAGGCGTCGTCGCCAAAGTGTTAGTGAAACCACCATATTGTTGAAAGACGTTCTCTCGACGTGTTGGGCATAAGTGCATACCTTTTCAGAGCTTACCTGGAATCTATACTAATTTGTCTTTCTATGCCTACTTGCCGGCAGATTGTATGAAAGCTCTCAAAGCATCGAATACTGTGGTGATGGCTGATGAATGAGGTATTGCAAAGAAGGAACGTCGTTCATTTCGGAATTTTTATGTGAAATCTGAACAAGCGACGCGTCATGGTTACCCAAACAGTTCTTAATCTTCCCATAACATCCTTATTTTAACGATCAAATCTAGTTTTAAAACACAACTTTCGTACTTTTTTGATTGAGCCATCGGAGGATGCCCTCTAGTATTGGGACGCATAGTTGCGTGTTTGTCAAATGGGTCTTTCCATTTAGCAGATGTGACTTGTAGAAACTAAATGACCACATAAAAGGATAAAAAGGATAAAGCTCTCGGCGTTGATCAATCTCTGAGGGATGCGCCGTGCATTCGACTTCATTAAGCAGCGCTTGGAGGTGATTGAATACATATTTGGCCTTTACAATGAGTCGTCGCGGTGGCCTACTTATGTAGCAATCCAGTGCAGCTGTCCTCCCGGCAAGTCTGGTACCAATTCGCCGACCCCGAAGGGATGGAAGGCTTGGTGGGCCATGGGCGTGGAGAGCGATTCCACGTGTTTGTTGCAGGGCGCCTCCAACCAATGCGCCACACACGCCCCTAATGGCCACATGCCAACAATAAATTCGCTGATGCTGTTGCATAATTCAAACCTGGCTGAGAGACAGGCGAGGCGAAAAACCCGCACGATGTGGTGGTGGACGCGTTAGTTCCTGGAAAGGGTAAGAGCGTGTTCGATGCTCACCACAGACGCCTGCAGTCCAGCGTTTTGCAAATGTCTCAGCATCATTGTGGTTGTATCATACACAATACCCTCCTGTGAAAAACTGTAGTAGGGAGCAAATAAATAGTTAACAGGATCGACTTTCTCTTAACCTCGGCATTGGAATATGAATGTGTCGTTTTCTTGTTCAGCAATCGCGCGGTTTTTAAACAGCATACATTTGCTTCCATAAAAACACAATACAATACAACGCTAGCTGACGTTTCGACAGTATCGCCTTCTTCAGAGCCTGGAAGGGTATACTGATATACAATCTACTAGGCCAAACGTTTCAATAACACTTACACAAAGACGAAAGACTCTTTGGTAATTACACGATCAACAACTTCTCGAAAAACCCACCGCTTTTTCGTGACTTCCAATGAGGAAGTTTAGAACAGCTGATTATAGTCGCATGTGGTTATACGGATACACAAAGGTCTGCCCGTTTCGCCAATATATTCATCTCCGCAATTATTACAAGAGATCAGGTATATCGTACCTGAACTCATGCAATCACCGTCCTTGCCGTAAGGGCAAATTACGCAATTTGTTGCTTCACACAGACGGTCATACAGGCAGTTGCGAACTAATTGGCGACGTAGAGTAGTCGGTGGTATTTCAACTATCGCTACCGATTCCTCTAGACCTGCCCTTCTTAAGCATCGTTTTATAGCTGCGCTTACTTCATCGCTTATAAAAGGCAACACAAACGGGATTTTGTTTTGGCCAAGTGTTTCGCGTGGGCGCGTCGTTCTCCTTGTAAACTTATCTCGTGGGGTTACTATTTCGTAGCCATTGGAGATGGCTATTTGCCGAGCCAAGTCGCGCGATTCTTCCTTTAGTTCCTTGGTAGTGCACACAGAGGTGGCTGTTCGAAACATGTTTCTCACAATCGCCCTCTTTGTGTGTGAAGGGTGGGAAGAAAGGAAATGAACAAGGATGTTCTTGTTACTTGGCTTTCGACACCACTTTGTCAGGTAACCGCTACTTGATAGGTTTATTTGGACGTCCAAAATTGGAAGGAGGCGATACTGCCGAAACGTCAGCTAGCGTTGTATTGTATTGTGTTTTTATGGAAGTAAATGTATGCTGTTTAAATAGTTAACATTATTTACTTAATATTTTTTCTCTAAGGACTATGAGTGTAGAAACAAAGGACCCGCATGGTGTGGTGGTGAACGCGTTACTCCCCGGAAAGGATAATAGCGCGTTCGTTCCCCACCATAGACACCTGCGGTCCAGAGTTTTGCAAATATCTCAGCAACGTTGTGGTTGTATTTCGCTTAGTAACCTGCCATGAAAATTATAGAAGGCAGAAAACAAAACGTTAAACATTATGAGTGTAGACCAAATTGTAGACTTTCTTCCATTACAGAACGCGCGCCACAAAAGATGATCCGTGGTATCTGCCGTAACGGACGGCCCCTAATTTGTCGCTACAAAGAGGCAACGCATTTTTGGACCATGTATGGGCAGCATCTGCATGATGACATTGAACGAGGCGGTCACATACGGAGTAAAGAAAGTTGTGTTCTGGGAACCGACAAGTGGTTACAAGACAGAAGGTTTAAGCGGTCTCTGGTTATGGAAACTATGATGGAACACTGCTTCAAGAACAGTGGCCAGTTTTCAATGAAAGGTTTGTAATGCTATAACTCAGTTCATAAACATCTTTTCTAGTAAAGGAAGAGCCATTGGTATCCGCAAATTTTTTGCAACAAAATTTAATGTCTATGTCTCCAAAGACGCTATGTTGAAGCGCATTTATGAAGCCATACTCCGTGAACACCGAGTCACACTGAAGAAGTTGTCTCAATGGTTTCTCCACTTGATTTAGTGAGAAAATTCCTCCAAGTGTTGAACATCAATGTTTAGGTAGAGACATTCCTCCTCATTAACAATAATTTCGTTTCTAGGTGCTTTCTTCAACAAAAATAGTCTCTTTTTTCGAAATGAACTCGTTCGTGAGCTTCTCGTAAGCTGTTAACTGCCGAGAGGAGGTTTTCATGGGATACGCCTTACATTAGGTCTTCGTTGGATGAGCTATGGACTGTACACGACAGGACTGGCAAGATGTCTTTGTGCTTCATATTAAGTCAGTTATTGGGTAAACTGTTGACTATAGAGAAAAAGTCTTCATGGGACAGGTCTTACTCTAGATCTTCGTTGGCTAAGGCTTTCGACTGAACTCGACAAGACTGGCAAAATGTCTTCATGTTACAGATCAATTCGCTTAAAAACAAGATGCATTGGGACCAACGTAGTTTCTCACTTTATGTCCGAGAACGCATTGAAACCAGTGCGTATTGGATGTCTGAATGCGGAAGGAATTCAGATCAACCTACGTTAGTTCTGTTTCGCTTTTTCATTTTCATAACAAAAGTCAGTGTACTAATAGATTAAGCTTGCCCACTTCTAATTTTCATTCATATATGTTCGGATCGCTCTTTTGAACATGAAAACTCCGTGGTTCTACTCATTAACTTTGCAGCTTGACCCTAACGGTAACTTACAGTTCTACGTGGCAGGTGACTAATATTCGCAAGTTCCTGCTCTAAGGCCAAATCGTCGCTGATTCTTGTGCTGTAGGCTTCCTCACAGAGGTCACGTCGGAGCTAACCGAAGTCGTTCCGTATGTTGTCTAACCTATTTCATGGGTGCGAATTTGTATCCGAAGTGGCCGACATCTTGTCAATGCGCAGCTTTGATTCTCTCCACGTCTTTGTATCGATTTTCTTGTTCACTTTCGTTTTCATTGGAGTTTCTTCGCCTCCCGTTCCTGCAGTTACAGTTACAATCCACTACTGGTAGTATCACCGAACCGGAAACGAATCATCTCATAGGGTTACACAGCAATCTTACTCCTCGTTGTTGCAGTAACATTTGCTGTCGCGGTATCGATCGGTGGGCGCCTCAATTTCCCCGTCTTCTCCGTCATCGCCGACGTCTGTCGTGTGTTGCTGCGCTATTTTGGCACTGACCACTTTCGAATCGGAATGGACTTCAACTTTAAGAAAATCGCCACCGAGGCTGGTGGATTCTTCAGTCGTGCGAAACAGGTAACGGATTTTTTCATTCATTCACTTTTATAAACAACGCTGGGTTGACAAATGGGGAACTATTGATTTATCTCCACGACCGACTTTCTGTTAAGCTCCGAATTGATCGAACAATTCTTTATAATCTTGTTGAGCAAACATGAGGTGTTATTTTATTTTTTTATTTGCGAACAAGCTGACGTTTCGGCGGATTTCGCCGTCATCAGAGCCTTCATGGAGGTGTTTGGATGGATAGATTGCTGTCAGCTTGATCTTTCCAGGCTCTGAGGAATACGAAGTCCGCCGAAACGTCAGCTTCGTCGTAATAAGAAGTAAAATGACACTTCGTGTTTGCGCAACAGGAATATAAAGAACTATTGGTTTGTGTTTTTAGTACACAGAAGAGACATTTCTCAAAGCTGAACGGACGGATTTGGATCCACATTTCGAGAATTTGTTGCAACGAGCGGACAAGACGGAGGAGCACACTCGACGACTTCTGTCTTGCATTGAGGGATACTTACAACCGAATCCAAGTGAGAAAATCGAACTATTTTTCGCGTGTTTTTCTCTTTTGGATTAATCCATTGCTCACGTTTATCTCCCACGTTAATGATGTTCCTGAAGATATTGTTAGTGTTCCAAGGGTTGCACTTACAGCCATAAGGATGGAAGACGTTTTCTATGAGAAGCTGGAACTTAAGAAGGATAATGCTGCTCGACTGAACAGTCTCGAACATATGGCGCAAGCTATGAGCGAAGCTGGAGAAGAGTTTGGGAATGCGACACCTTACGGTGAGGCATTTGTGTAAAGGTTTTTTCAATTGGTTCGTTTAAGTGAAAACTAATCTTTATAATGAAATAGTGCTCGAAGTTTGACTTTGTAAATGTAAACAGTCAGCTGGAGCCTTCTAATTTGGTAACGAACTTGCCAGCGGTAGTGTGGAACTGAGAAGGACACTGATTCTGTAGGTGTAGGAGTTGGGATGCTTCCTCGAAAAATGGTACCGCTTGACCAGATGGCATGGGTACATACTACTTTTGTAATTCGAAGTAGGCCATATTTGATACATTTGTTTTAAGGAAGTGCTCTTATAAAAATTGCACAATCTGAACATAAACTAGGGCAAGCTGAGAGAGAATTTGTGACTGCATCTGCTAGCCAGACCCTATTACCTATTCGCCGGTTTCTGGAGGGTGATATGAGGACTATACAGGTATGTGTTTTTCTCCCACCTTGTTTTTAATTTTTGCTCGTTTATTTCACACCTATGTTCTTTAACCCATAACATCCGAATGTACGAGCACGTTTTTTTCGCCTGTGGGCTTTCTGGTTTTTTGACAATAAAAAGTAATTTTTCAATAACTAGAGTACATTAGGGGTTGTGGACATGAAATGGTCGTAGAACAGACTTTGCTTTATCGTTCTACGGGTATAAATGATATATACACTTACTTCCTTGGGTATTTGGGTGGCCCATCTACACTGGTTGTACCGGCTCCAGCATAGTTTCAGTTTTTTTCCGAGTATTGCTAGTTTATCTATTGTGTTTCCCTGGAGTCAAGACGTCAGCCTGGCCAAAATCTACCCCAGGTCGTCACCACCACAGGCAGTCGCCGCGGTTGTGAATCACAGGGAGGTTTGGTGTTTTCTTTAATAAGCAGACACGAGGTTGTTATTATAGAATTTGTTAGGATATAATAGCTGACGTTTCGGCGCTTTCGCCTTCTTCAGAGCCCACTATTCCCCTCCAAAGGTAATCCTCCGAATACTGAACACAATAAGATTCCTTCGACTTGCACTTTTTCAATTGCGCATACATGGCGCTGTGTTTGCATCGAAGAGAGGCGCGTAGTAGTCGCGTCTCGATGTCCAATACTAGTTGGTTGTCCCTCGGTAGGCCGCATACATCGTATAGTCGTTTTCGTTTGGTGATGTTCAGCATGACTCGGTGTTTCATGCAGCGGCGGAGAAAGAGTTTCGTTTGTCTAGCTAAGGCAATTTTGTATCTTAGTGAAGAAAAACATCGAATTATCAATCGATGTCGAGGTTAACAGAAAGTCGGTCTTGGGAATTGCTACGTAAAATGCCAGCAGAGGGAGGTTTTCCATCATGCGACTCTGATACCAGGACGGTGGCGGATCCTGGTAGTGGTTTACTCTTATCTAGGTTTCCTGATGGAAACGCCGGACTCCTTCTCATCTTGGGAGACCCTGTCGGGGGGACGAATACCTGCACTGTACATCGCAGTCCGACACCCAGGAACACCTCCCAACCACGATGAGGCGGTAAACCGTTGGGAGGAGCTAGCACATGTCAAATAGCAAAGCAATAATTTTGGAACCGACCGTCATTTAACCTCGGTGCTATAATAACCAACATTTGTTTATATTGTTGAGCTTACACGAGGTTGATATGGGACGTATATTCAAATATCAGTCATAAGAAATTCGTAAAAATGAGCTACTTCCATACATCGGAGCAAAAGCTGGTGTTTCATTCCAGATTTGCAGTCCTCAAAGATCCAGAGGTCTTGAGGTGAACAGTATGGAACGCATGAGCCGCTTGATCTCGACTTTTCTCAGCATACTCAGATTTTCGCTAAGTATCGATTAGTCGGTGGAAAATGGGGTGTGAATTCGTTTTTTGGCTACGTGGTCCAAGTTTGTAGAATTCAATGCTTGTGTGGCAACTTTTTTTTCCCGCTGTGATCGCTATTAAAGAACTTTTGTCTTGGTACGAAGTGAGCGGGTGTAAAAAGAGTAAAAGGCACGTGGTTAAATGAGGACGAGTTTTCTTCATCACACATATGAATAGGAAATGTCGAAAAGAGATGGAACACTTTGTACAACAATGTCTAAGGTAAAAACGGTATGCAAAACAGAAGTTGCCTGCACAGTCTATTGGAAAGCCGAATTAAGAGCGAAGAATGCACTAAAAGAGAGGAAGGTCGGCCTTCTTGAACTTTTTGAACTGATTTCAATTCACAGCCAATGTTATGAAAAATTAGTTGTTGCCCCACCACCTTCCGTCTCCACTCCTCTCCCTCCTCCCTCCTCCTCTCGGCCGACATCCGAAGGACATCGGGATCTTAGCGATATAGCACTCTTGATTTTTTTGATGATGAGTTCTTTATATGTATAAATTTTATGTTACTTTTTTTCAGAAGGAGCGGAAGGTTCTCAATAGTAAACGATTGGATTTAGACGCATGCAAGAGTCGACTCAGAAAAGCAAAAACAGTGGAGAGTCAGGCCGCCGTATGTGTTTTCAACATTGTGATTTGCTGTTATTGAACCTTTTTATTCCAGACTAGTAGTAAATCAACGGGAAATTTTACTGTAGAACAGGTTTGAGGGATATTGTGATGTATCGTTTATCCACTAGTTTCGGAGGAGAAAGTGCGGTACTATGACCTCGTGTAGACCGTTAACTCCCAATGCTGTACCGCGCCTGCTCTGAGAAACACTTCATATTTATGTTGTCAGTGACTAATTTAACCTTCTTGTGTTTGTAGTAATCATGGTGTATCGTGCTCCAGAGCTAAAAAGATAATGAAGTTTTACCGTAATTGTTGTTCTAGTTTAGGCAGAGGCAGATCTAAGAGTAGCGCAAACAGAGTTCGACAAACAAGTTGAAATCACCAAATTGTTGTTGGAAGGAATTCAAACTGCTCATGTAAGTTTCCTCTTTCCTCTTTCGCACTTTAGTGTTGTGTATTATTTTGTCCCACCTTAACGTGGTGTTCTTATCTTTCGCTTCGTGGAACACAATTTCGACATGAAATTCTTGTGTTTTTAATGAGTAGGCACGCTTTTTTAAAACAGTATTTTTTTTTCGCTATAGTTTTGACGGATTGCCCTGCTTTCAAAGTAATGAATGCAAATGCTGATCTGGAGCTTGTTTGATTACGCACCTCCAGAACTTTGCCCCAAAGCTTTTGGCGTAGTAAGTTTTCACAAGAAAATCCGTTTTACGAAATGCTTAACGTTCAAGTCGTTAATTTCCAATGTAAATTGTGACTATATCGTTCACATTAAGGGATAAACTCATGCTTAACTTGGCTCAGAAAGGAATCTAACATATATTTTTCTGTGAATATTTGGTATTTCTTCATCCTTAAGTGTAAAATTTTCGGTGCTGCGTAAAGTAGGTTGGATTCAAGAGCTTAAACCAAATGCGGCTATAGTACTTTGAACAGAGATACAGTTTAATACATGCCTTTACATATGTTTTTCCAGTGTTTTCGTTGGTTTCTCCTTCTTTTTCTTTTGTTTTCTGCGAACCATATACGCATTCTTGTGTATTGTTACATCTTTGGGAACATTTCGAACTATTTTATACGGTGAAAAGGAGAAAAAAACTCATCCACCTACAATTGTTGTGCTGTCGCACTCATAAAAGGATAAAGGATAAAGCTGTCGGCGTTGGTCAATACCCTGGTGCACACGCTATGCATTGGACTTCATTAAACATCGTTTGAAGGTGATTGAATGCATATCTAACCTTTACAATGATCCGCGGTGGCCTACCGATGTATCGAGCCTGTGCTGCTATCCTCCCATACAAGTCTGGTTCCAATTTCCAGAGCCTGGCGGGATGGAAGGATTGGTGAGACACGGGCGCAGGGATCGATCCCATGTGTGTATTGCAGGGTGCCTCCGACCACTGCGCTATACGCGCTCCAATGGCTGTAATACTACTTTATATGCGATATCTTTTCCCAAAGGTGAAAAATTTAGGTGAAATCCGCGTCTGTCACACTCATAAAAGACAGTTTTCTTCTTCGTTGTAGCGGTGTTTTGCAGAGCGTTATCTTTATTGCAAGCTTTAAGATTCAAACCATTAACAAGTGCAAGCATATTCAATTTTTCCGAATCAAGATAGCTTTATCGTGTTTGCAAATGTCTGTAGATTGTAGTGATTTGCACATAGTTCGGAATAAGCTGCGGTATGTTTTTCCAGAGCTGGAAAACGGAGTTACTTTCGGACACACAGAAACAGTCACAAGCACATTGAGTTGGGAAGTCATGGAGGTGACTGGTCGTATGATTGCAAAGGAAACATTAATCAGAATTTTTCAAATTTTGCTTTTAAATAAGTGCGTAGGATAGGATATCAATCAAATAATGAGAAATAGGTGGAAAAGTAGAATACGAAAACAGTTCTTCTTATATGATTTGAGTAACGGTATATAAAGCAGCCGCTTTGTTCAAAGGTTTTTGTGAATTTTTCCTTTACACTTTAATATAATAAAGTTAGAGTGGGAGTTCGGAACAATACGCACTGTTTGAAAACACACGGAGGAAGGCCTATCTCCTTTATAGACGAATAGATTTGTCTAACCATTCCTTAGCAAGGCCACTCTGTAATGGATGCTTTTTTCACCAGCAGTATCTGTGCGGAATGAGTTTGTCCGAAAAAGTTTCTTGTACACTATCGTACATTATCGAATGCAGAGTCGTGTATTGCGAGCATTGCTTACTGAATCGGTCGCTGTTTCGATCCCGCTTCTCGAGCTCACCAACCATTCCATCAATTCAGAGCGAAAAATTGCCACGAGATTTATCTGGGAGGATAAACACGCGAATCTGATGCGTTGCTAGGCCACCACAAGTCGCTTCATAATCTAGATATGTATTTAGTCATCTCTGCAATCGTAGATGAAGTCGAATGCACGCCGCTTCCCTCAAAATTATTCACGCAAATCGCTTTGTTTTTTCCCCTTTTACTAAGTGTGTGTGATAGCTGTTTGGATTCGACGTCCAGCATCATGAGCTGCGTTGAACAAGCCATCGATGGAGTGCAGTAATGCATGAAAACCTTTGAGTCTGGGCAACTGCCCACATGTGATACGCGTTGACTTGACCTCTCTTGATAAGAATCTATAGATGGTTTATTTAGAGGGTTCCCAGGGGTTTGACAACTTATTTGAGACACGAGATGGACCGCGCGCTCTGTTGACGCCTTGGTGGCGCGTTTAAACATTGGGCTGGCTCATGTAATCTATCCCATTATAGCACAAGATGCAGACGTTCGTATTCAAACGTGAACACAACATTGTATAAGTATTTGTAATGTCTTTTTTATATTTCGAAACTTTATAAGGTTTGGATTTATGCCTTAGTGGAGAAATTCAGGTGCTTCGACGCTCCACTGTTTAAAGTTGTTATCATTATTTCTCGCTTTTTTTTCTTCTTAATATGTGCGCGCTTCCTTTCTTTGCCACATGAATTTCGTTCCTACTTGTTGCGCAGTGAATTTTCTCGTTTGAACTAGTTTTATTTTCCAATTTTAGAATAATCAACTGAAGTGCCTTCGAGATTTCGTTGATTTACAAGTCTCGTACTTCGCTCAAGCGCATCAGACGATGGCTGATCTTCAACGTGAACTTAGCGGGTGTGTTTCTTAAGGTTCTCTTGGTTGCTGTGTCGTCTATTATGTTTTGGTTGAAAACAGGCATGTTTTGCTCATAATTTGGCAAAGCACCAGTTTTTATGTTTGGAAGAAGATGTTGCATTTAATCGTACTTTCTTTTCCATTTCATTAAAAACTATGAGCTGAACATGTTTTGTTACGTCACAATGTCGTATCTCTCAGCCAGTATCGAACCTTTTCTGATTTCGCTGTAGTTTCTCACTGTTTGTGGATTGTGTTTTCCGTAATTTGCGACAAATGTGAAGTTTAGTGTTGTGTTTTAATTCGCTGAGGGAAACTCAGTTTGGTCCCTTCAAATCTTTAGCAACTTCTGTATGCTATAGTCTAGTCCTGTGGTGAGATTTTCTTAAGTGATCGGTTTCAACTCATTGTTATTTTATGAAGAGAAAACTATCAGTACCGTCGTGTTCGTACTTGATTTGTGTAAGATTGTTTTTAATAGTAAATCGTCTTTCGTTCACTTCTACTGAATATCGTCAGTTTTGTGATAGGGTTGGTCGAGATTGTGTCAGCATGTAAATAGGTTCGTTTTTATGTACTGGACGTTAGCTTCTCTTGAGTAATTTGTTGAACAAGTCAGTTCTCTGTGAAGGTACCTTTATGGGCGCGCTTTCATATGTTCCATAATGTTCTTGTTTTAATAACCATCCGGGAAAAGGACTGCTTGTAGTTAGGGGTAACGGTTATTTATTCAAGTTTCTAAGCAATAGTAATTTTATTGCGATAGAAACACGCTTAAGGTTTTTATTTGCATGTTGATTATTGTGACTGCATTTGAGTAGCGAACATGGTTTACGAATCCCCTCGTATATTAACACATTCGCCACGGCGTTCAATTTTGTTGGCTGCGCCATTGGTGATGCCTAGTGGTTACGCATTGACCGAAATGCCTCGAAGCAATCATTACTGTGTCTTCTTCATCAGCAACAGTTTCCTCTGTTAGTTAAGTTGTGCTACTTGCATTAAATTGTCATGGGGCGTGATATTTTTGGTTTTGTGTTTAATAGACATCTTAGAACCATTCTCTTTAGCAATAGCCTCAATGGTGCTCTACGAGTGTAATAATCAGCTCAATCGCTTTGGAACCGGTGGAGACAAATGCACTCGCCCCCGCAGTTGTTTTGGTAGATTTTGTTGATTAGGGGATAGCATTCCTTGGAACAACCCCACAGGAGTGCTATCGGTACAAAACAAAAGCTGTAGAAAAAGCGTGTGTGGCAAGGAAAAACTGTAAAGAAAATGCATTGAAATCAACGCGGGTTGTTCAAAATACTCCACCACGTACGCTTTGTTGCGAATGTGTTTAAGTATACGAGAACGTTACATTATATCTAGTGCACTTCGAACTAGTGTATAGAACTCGTCTAGTATGCCGTTGTTCCCTGCTTTTATTCCGCAGTTTGCTCTTTTTATGCAGTTAGATGGAGCAACTTGACAAGTTTTCCGAACGATAGGACATTGCATGTCCGGTCAGCAATCAGTGTATTGCCAGTGCAAATTCAATTTGGGCATCGTTCATAATTCACGTAGCACTCAGTGTTCGTCAAACCATACCATTCTACTTGTTTTCTTTCAGAATACTGACTTTTCGTGGTTCATCGGCCGTACTCGTGTCTTCGAATGCAGACTTCATTCCAACTAGTACAAAGTCATCTAATGCGGCTAAAGTGAGAATAGTAAAAGTATCTCTTTGAATGTAGGGGCGAGTGGTGCGAAATATTCAGCCGGTAGCCGAGAGTGGAAATTCAATAAGTGTCTCCGATATTGGTACCAGGCATGCTCGGGTTGTTCTCGACTACGATGCTGTTCTTCCACAAGAAATGAGTGTGCGACAAAACGATGTTGGTTTTCGTGTTTATTCTTTTTATGAGTACAAAGACTGGATACTGTTGGAGATTTGGGAATTACTGAGGAATAGAATGTTAATATTTTATGGTGCTTAATATGAATTTTGTGTGGAGAAGCGATGAGATATGGGGTTGAAGTGTTATTGATTGTGTTAGTTTATCTCAGCAACATATTCGCAACCACTTCGAGGCCTATCTCTCATGATTGTGCTCGATCTGCTTTCGATAGAAATCGTTTTGTTAAATAGCAATGAAACCCACGATGGAGGTTTTGATATCATTCTTGTCTTTGAAGCTCTCGCTAAAGACGACGTGCTGCAAATTGAGAGATGATACTTCAGTGACACGTTAATTATATAGTTATCGACGAATTAGCCCTGCGATTGCGGTCTTACACATGTCTAACACCTCGTTCTAGTAAATTCCCTCCATAGTGTGCTAAAAAGATTAGGGCGCGGTTTTGATATCTGGCTCATAATTTCTGTCGTTCGATCGTAACGATCCCTCATTCATAACCGCAGACATTGATTTCAAAGGATTTCCTTCTCGATCATTTCTTTTACTGCGTAAAGTCTCTCTGCAGTAACTTTTGTATTCAAATCATTACCTTGCCAACCACAGATCTTGTACTAGATCTCGTCCAAAAAAAGCTGTCTTCTATGCATTATGACCTAGATACAAGAAAAACTTTTTGTGAGATGGATCAGCTCCCTTAGTTCACGGCTAGTGTATAGGCAGAGTAAAATAGAAATTGTTGCTGGTGATGATGTACCATATATACATACATATATATATATATATACATATACATATATATATGTACATATATATATATGCCAAAAGGCAGATTTGAAAAGCTGTTAGCTCATACAATATTTTCAATAATGAGAAATAAAAGATGAAGCTCTCGGGATTGACCAATTCCTGAGGGATGAGCCATACATTCGACTTCATCGAGCACCGTTAGAGGTGACTGCATGCATGCCTGGTCTACACAGTGACTGGCGGTGGCCTGTCAATGTATCAAGTCAGTGCTACTATCCTCCCAGACAAGTATAGCACCAATTTGTCGACCACAGAGAAATAGAAGGCTTGATGGCCGTGGGGTGGGGGATCGAACTTATGTGTGTAGCTGGAGGACGACTCTAACCGCTGTGCAACATGCTCCCTCTTCGGTAATCCGAGCTACAATGGACAAAGACTGTTGTACAAAATTGGTCCATTTACCGATTTTGTTAATAAAAATTGCCTCAGATAATACAGAAGTGGAAAAGGCATTGTACAACGGACGTTTTCATTGTGCCGTCTAGAGGTATAGTGGCATTCCGCTACTTCATATCACATAGAAGTTAGCAGTGTGTGACTAAGTTGCTAAATTGTGTGCTAAAGGAGGGAACATAATAAGGTTTATGGTGCATATCAGTAAGGAGACCTCGAGAACTGGAGCCACGACTGAGTCACTCGTAATTCGTGAACGTTTTTTGGATGAAGGATCATGTACACGGATAATTAGTATATGAGTGCCTCGTTGACAAAAAGCTTGCTCTAAGGAATGATCCAATTTATTGCTAAGGGCAGAAGGAATGCGGAGATAAACACGCCATCTAGCAAGAACTCAAGAGATAAATTTATAATCCAATGAGATTGCAATTGTATAAATATCGTCAAATCGAATGGTAAAAGAAACAGTTCTGTAATATAGTGCATGCCGCAATCTGTTTCGGTAATTCAAAGCTGAAGCTGTGATTTCGCAAAGCTTATTCTGCACATGGGGGTGCAAATTGCATTCTATCCTCTGCATGTGAGAAATTTAGCAAGTGGTGCATACAATTTCTCTTATCCTTTGTTAGGTACATACTACTTACAATTCCACCTAGGTACTTAGACATGTTTTGGTGAACGTATGGAGCTGCAAAAACTCGCAATGGATGAGTTCGAGACCCAGGTCTATTTCGTTCAAATAGATGGGATGAAAGTGACTACGCCGTCCAGTGGCCTTTATCTGAAGGAGTCTTTATTAGCAGAAGAATGGAGACGTTGTGTTGCCAGTTATGGGGATTTATCATAACATCGTAATTCTTCTGTTGGATGGTGCCAAACAAGTCAACAACAGATGTAACAATATAACAAACATCTTTGTATAGATTGTTCTTCCACTTAAAGTGAACTCGTTCGTTAATGGTACTAATGATTGTAAATCTCATGTTAAGTGTACTAGCATCTAGTACTAGTAATCTCATACAAAGTGTACATTGTGATGGTTACGGGTTGTACCATATATTGTAAAGTGGTTTTTTTTTGAGCATGGCGCTCACAATAAATATCATTGGGGGATTGTAACAAGAAAATATGAGAAACAGTCGTACTTCTGGAGATTTACTATGTTGAAGCATATTGATGAAGTGCATTTCTTGAGGCCGTGTCTGATATACAATTAAAGCATAGTCAGTCATATCACTATCCTCACAACCCTCACTGCCAGCAACAATCTCTTCGCTAGTCTATTTGTATTCAAAGCTGTGAAATTGCCACGAACTAAATGAGACGACTAAACTGAGATGCAGACTTGGCACAGTGAGCTTAATTGGTTGAGATTAATGTCATTAATTTCGTTATCATACTGTGATGAATTTGTGATTTTTGAAGTCCATAAATAACCTTTTTTTTGTTTCGTTGAGTTACGTGTTTGAAACAACGAAGCAAGTGGGAGTTCTTCCAATTGGAAGGGATTATTTCTTTAATGCATCATTGATGTTGGGCCTAATGCACCAAAATTCTGAAGATTTGAAAATTTTAAAAGGTTTTTGAAGTTTACGATTTCAGTCAATTTTGAAATTGAACGAGTACTTCGGAATAGTTTTGTGTACATGTGTGTATATGTGTAGTGTACATATATGTTTATATATGTACATGTATACACATATATACGTGTTGTGTATAAACGTACGTACACATGTATATATACAGATAAATATGTATATGTATGCGTATACTTATGCATATGTATGTGTATATGTGTGCGATATTCTAAGAGCGATAGGGAAGTCTCTTTTATAAGCCTGTCTATTCCTCTTGTCCTTGAATGATTTAGCGAGATGAAAATTGTGGATAGTTTTTGAAAAGTCTGCACCTTAGCATATGGGTCATCGATCCATTTCTCGTTTCCAGATGAAACTCGTTTGACAATTTGAGTGACCCATTTTCATTTAGGACAATAAAGAAGTGGAAATAATGATGGATTGCAGCACTAGATGCAAACTCTGTTTTTAAGGAACTGAAACTCTATTTCTCTTTTCTTTTCTTGGTTTCTTCATTTTCGTGGAAGTAATTCGAGACAATCGTGTGCCATAGTGGTTATGACACTCTGTGGCACTAAAGCAATAACGATGGTGATTGCCATTTCTCGAATGATTTGATATAATTTCTGATGTACATTAAATGTGAGGAATTCTTCTTTCTTTTTCTAGTTCTGATAGCTTTTTGGAGCACAGACGTTAACTTAAAGTACATGTCTATTCCGAGTTTAAACATCCTCTGAGGTCTTCGACCACACGTTTCCTTTTGGGAAACCCTGTTGAAGACACATTGTAGAACTAAATCACCCAGTAGAGAAGCGGACCTTGTTTGTAAATTTAACATTCAGTGTTATGCATGGGCGATTCCAATAAGAGCAACACAAATTTATAGCTTTGTGTCAACCGCTCGTGTTCTCGCTCAATTAAGACTGGAATTCGTACTCTTTATCAGTTTTTATTCAGGTACTGATTGTTTACCCTCTTCCGGGACTGGATCCAGATTACATGATGGCAGAAAAAGGCAGTGTTAGAGGTCAAGTGCCCATTTCATTCCTAGAGTTTAGATGAATTTGGTTTCCTAAGACAAATAATTATTTATCCTAAACTGTGCTGTGATTTACATCGTGTGTGAGCGCGTCTCATTTTTTCAGTAAAGGTTTATTAATTATGCTTGGTACCGCAATCTCCTCACTTTGTGTTTAAGCTTAACATGGCATTACATATGGTGCAATTCTTAAATAAATTTTAATACTCAGCTCGCTGCTTATTCTATCCTTGTCACTGTTTATGAAGTCAGCATTCTAAGACATTTTAGGACGTTTGAATCGTTCTAAAGGTTGCCATTCGCTAGGTTACAAATGTCGAAACATCTGTTAATGTGCGAAGGAAATGTTATATTACGAATTTGAATAAATATTTGTAGGAATTCTATGGTGTTTGTTTTATAATTTTTCAACACTGTTCGCGCACTTCGTACTCGATTTACCGATACTACAGAATTCTTGGTGATACGACAATTTCTTGATCATCATCGTTAAATCCTTGTTCCAATGAAATGGTCGAGTTTCCTGATAACGGAATTTGCTGGTATTTTCCTTCACTGAGAGCGACCCAGTTCTCTTGTGCATCTACGACCTGATCTGGATTCCTTTTCATTTGTTCTTAACGCACATTCTCTTTGTTCCAAACGAGTCATGTCGTCTGATTTCTCTCATTCTCATCGAACTCGTAAAATTTTCTTCCGTGAGTCCTTTCTGAAGAATCATACAGTTTCCGTAACATTATTTTTGTAGTGGTAATCACGTCAAACCATATTTTCACTCATGTTTTCCGAAAATTTTCTAAAAAATGATTTGGTTAAAGGCTTTGATTAAACTGATTCATACAGAAGTGGGACGAGAAGAAAGGCTTGTTAAACCTAGTGACAGAAGGAAGAAAGAGAAAGTTGTCAAGAAGAATCACTTCTCGATATTCACAGATGTTTCTGGTGAAAGGTTATGGTGGACCTATGATGCATATACTACGATGTGTAGTGGAAGCTAGGTTTGCCAAAACAATAGGTCTGCACCATATCTTTCCTTCAACTCTACGACAGATTATCGACGCTTTCACTCTATGCCTGGTATGCAGAAATCAGCTGGTTCTTTTCCTTACGATGAAGTCAAAAATGCCTGAAAACTCAAGACTATTTGTGGTGTATCGTGACATTTTCTCCATCTATAATTATCATCGACTACTGAGAATTACTTAAGCATCAGATGAAAAGGCTTGCCATACTTTGTTTAACAGCATTGTGTGAGCGTAACATGTTCACTACCATTATTAGCGCTTTGTGCTCGTACTTTTCATTTGATAATTTGCAGTTGCACTCCTACGAAGCAGTTATCTAAGCTTCAAATTCATTCTATAATTTCATGGTTTCGTGAGATGTTTCGTAAAATACTGTTTTTAACTATCCTCTTCCCGGTTTTGCTTGAGGGTCAGAAGATTCACCATGGAGTCTCACGTGGTAAGGTTGTATCTTTATTTGTAAATGACTTTTAGTTCTTTCTTAAAGTTGTTGCTTATAGCATAATTCTCCACAATTCTTACCACAAAACTTGTTACTTTTTAATGAAGAAAGCAATCGTTTTTCGGACTTTACTTAGTAAGTGGTATACACGTCCCAACGCTCCTTCATCATTACTGGGAGGTGTTCCAGAGTGTCGGCCTGCGATGTACAGCGGATTGATCCGTCCCTCAGAATGGTCTCCTAAGCTGAGAAGGAGTCCGGCTCTTCCATTAGGAAGCCCAGCTAAGAGTAAACGAATATCAGGGTCCACCACCGTCCTGGTATCGAACTGGTCGCATGCTGGCAAATTCCCCTCTGATCCACAAGGGCGGCGACTGGCTGTGGTGGTGATGAACCTTACTTATTAGGCACACTTTGGCTGTTGTCTGGACTCCAGGGAAACACATCGGCTAAACTGGCAAAACTCCGAGTAAGTTGAAGTTATGTAGGGACCCACACAACTAGTGAAGCCGGGTTATCCGAGTATCCAAGTAGTGACATGTAGTATAGTAAATGCGTCGGCGTGTACATATTTAACTTAGCCATCCTGATTGTCCCATTTGTGCTAAGGTTCATATTGATACGGTACCGTCAATTTTTAACGAAATTCCTAAGTTCTTGTTTTTTTGAAGTGGTGGAGAAGTAGGTCTTCGCCAACGTTGTCGTAACAGATCTATATCTTCAGTAGTTGTTTTGACAACTACTATCTTTTGTGAAATCTTCTGGTACTTCTCTGAAAATAATCCCATTATTTGCGGCATTTGTGGATATATTCCAGGGGCTTGCTGCATGACGAGGTTTAAGCCTGAATGCGTTAGTAAGCACTGCTTTAAATGGATTTCTATGCACTGTCCACATAAGCGGGCGAATTTATGTAAAGAAGATCGAAGGCGTTCTTCAAATCATGAGGTATTTCTTTCGGCTTTGCATTGACAGCGTAGAATTCTTCTAAAGATAAGAAGTCGTTGTGCTTATGTGAAGATTAGTGCCATTTACAAATGAAATCGAGTGGTAATGCGGGAACCAATTCACATTCTCTCACATGTTTTTATGAGAAGGGATGAAAGAATTATCGTATTGTTTTAACTTTTATTCGCTAACCATTATTTTCTCCGAGCAGAGAATTATTTGATATACTACCACAAGGATTCTGAGACATGAGCAAAACTCGGAACCTCACCTACGTCTCCAATCCACGACTACCTTTCCTGAGGACTCACTTGTCATCCACTGCAACAACCAAGCCCTTTGTTTTGCCTTTCCATCAACCAATTTTTTAACCCTCGGTTGGTATAGTGGATAACGCGTCAGCCCCTGGAAAGGGTGATCACGGCACACCTCAGACTCTGAGTTTTGCTCACGTCTCAGCATCTTTGTGTTTGTGTTTCACATAATAGTCGTATTCTTTGCTCAGACCACATATGCGCTGCATCGAGTGAATTATAGGCAAAATGCGGAACTGCTGAAAGGAATTACCAGCCATGTACAAGCAAAGTGATTGCTAATAAACTATTCAAGTCCTGCTGTGATCTATACGTACCAGATGAGTGTCACTTCATGTGTACATATGAAACAGAACAGACTAAAACAAAGAAGATGGTATGCAATTGAACTGTTTACAGTCCAATTGTTTTTGTTTATTTGTTTAATTTCGATTTTTATTTACTGTAAAATTTCACTCAGTGAAATTGAAATCACCGGTAGTGGGCAGGTTAAAGTAAAAGTCGGTAGTTTTTTCTACTCACTTGTTAGAAAGAGAATGAAACTGCTGGGTGCAAACTATAAAGATGTGAGCACATATTTCAGTCACCCAGATTCTCATGAAATTCTTGAACACTAAAGGGTTTCAGGCTCCTGGTTGTTCTCACTGTATTCATAACATTCTCTGCCGTAATAATCGTTTACATTTATAGAATTTCTTGTTCCGGTATTACCACAAAACATTTGAAGGTGGTTTTCTATGAATAGAAGACTTCCGATAACTCATAGAAATTTCTCCCAACGGTTTACCTCCTCATCGTGGCTGGGATGTGTTCCTGGGTGACGGACTGCGATGTACAGCAAGGGGATCCGTCCTACCGGCAGGGTATCCCAAGCTGAGGAGTCCGGCGTTTCCATCAGGAAGCCTAGCTAGGAGTAAACAAATCCCAGGATCCACCATCGTCCTGGTATCAAAGTCGTGCGGTGGCAAATCTTCCTCTGATCCACAAGTGCTGCGACTGCTTGTGGTGGTGAAGAACTAGAGCAGACTTTGACCAGGTTGACCTCGGGATTCCAGGGTGCCACAATGGCTTAACCAGCAAATCTCCGAAAATTGTGATCTTGCTGGGGCCAGCACGGCCAGTGAGGACGTGCCGTCCAAGTATCAGGTAAGTAAATAATACACATTTACTCGATTACTGAAGCATTTGAGTTCGGAACTAAATACTCTTTTAGCGGGAACTTTGCTATATAAACAATTGCTATAAGGGTTCTTTAAAAGTTAGGTATCTTTGTAACTGAAAATTGATAACGCTGGTAACGTTTTTGATATAACATGGGATTGATAAGGTTTTTTAGAAATTTTAGCTCAAGCGCAGCAGAGCTAAGCACCTGGAGGAATGCTATCGTGTCGTGCTGGACCTAATCCCGCTTATTCAATTGCTTCTTTATTTAAAATTTGAGCGTTAGCAGGATAAATTGGAAAAAAATATGCCATGAACTTTAGAGAATCACAACTTCGTATTGGTACACTAAAACAACTTGTATCTTGTACGTGGACATCTTCAGTTCATGATGGTTTTTAATCAGTACAATCTAATACGATCCGAGGTATCTTGGTGTAAAGTTGATAGTTATTATTTTCGCATTATACGCGTAGAATCCTGTGAATCTTGGGCGTTATACGTTAACAAGAGATAAAAGACAAAGAATTAGTGTCCAGTACGATTAGTTTACACTGTCTCTTCTCAGCTGTTCCTCTTGCTTTTGGACAATTCAACCTTTTTCAAAGGAAAATATGGGAATATCGCTTTTCAGCTGATCGATTTGGTGAAGCAAAAGCGGTGTAGTATTCGTTATCTATCATCAATTTTGTACTGCGCCAGTCAGAACAGAGACAATCGCAAATGTTGTGCCGACCTCGACTTGAACGCCCCACAGCTCCAGATATGTCAAGCGTGAAGTTTTATGTTGCTATTCGCACAAGGATAAAGAATAGAGCGTTCGAGTTTCATCAATCTCTCATTGATTGCCGGCTATGATCAGGTTAGCCCGGGTCATCAGGCCTTCCATCTCTGGGGCATGCAAACTGGTAGAAGACTTATCTTAGAGGAAATGAGCGCTGACTTGATACAAGACCACTGCACGTCATTATGGAGGCCACATACGCATTCGGTCGTACTTGGTGAAGTCGAAAGCATGGCACATCTCTCAGAGATTGATGAGCATCGAAAGCTTCATCCTCTTATCCTTTATGTGCACAAAATTTTTATGCTTCTATCCTAAGATGTATACGCCAGTAATTGAAGATACTACCAGTGATCCATATCAGTGACTGAAATTGGAATTTTTAGGTTGGTTCCAGATGTCTGAGAATGTGCGACCCCTCTGGGACTGCCATTGAAGGAATTGCAAAACAAGATGTGACATGCCTATATAACTGGAATGTTATCATGTTCTGTCATCATGCGGGAATTCGAGAAATGTAGTTGCACGTCATATTCTGAGTAAAGCGATTATCATAAGGCATAATCGACTGTAGCTGGATAGAGTTTGCTTACCATGTTCATCTCTATTATAGGCGATTGACTTGTCGCTTAGGAGTGGTTGAATGTGGTCATTTATTTCCTATGGGATTTATCTACCGTTCAGATTTTCGCTCATATTGTGTATTATGAGAATGGTAGTAATTTCAATGATGCTGAGATATTTGCAAAACTTCGGACCGCAGGTGTCTGCGGTGGGGAACGAACGCACTATGGTCCTTTCCGGGGAGTAACGCGTTCACCACTACACCATGCGGGTCCTTCGTTTCGCCTGTCTCTCAGCTAGTTCTACCGATCTTTTCCCAAAAAATGTTAGTAATATTCATATCTCTAATAAAAATGACAATAATAGTAACAATAGTGGTAATGACAATGAAATACCGTATTTATATTATTAACGCGCAGTCGAAAGGACTATGCTAGGAGTATCCCATGTCGCACAAGAGAGGGAAGGGATTCGAAGCTCCGACCTGCGTCAGTGATCAAAAATCAAAGATGCCGTTCTGTACGCCAAACAGTCGAACATAAGATGGGCCGGACACGTAATGCGCATGAATAGCAACCGATGGACAACAGCCGTTAGTGATAGGGTTCCTCGGGATGTCAAGCGCACTGCATAAATATCACCGAGCCTATGGTTAGAGTTCTTCTTGGAAAGCCTAGAAGGAAGGTATGATGCTCACCGAGTCTCTAGATCGAGCAGAACCAACTGGGCTACTCTTACGATATTTAATTCTCATCGTGCCCTTGGCACCGTCAAAAAACGATCACTCTGTTTTAATCGTGCGTTTTTCTCCATGTCCTAATTTTCTTATGTATTTTCTGCTCATTTCCATAGGTTTTTTAAAAGTAAAACATCCTAGGTGTTGTCTATGTTCTTCTGTCTATCTTTCCATGCTTTTGGAAGCAACTCTTATAAATGATAGAAAACGTCCATCGTCTAAGCTTGATTTGATAGGAGATTGATATCTTATATGTTTGATACGGTCCATTGCTAACCGATTTTTGCAACATATTTTGAGTACGTTTCGACATTTTCATGTAGTTTTAATATCCACTCATTTCATACGAGAGTTATAACTCATCCTATCGAATGAGGACTAAGGAACAATCAATTCCTGGTCCTAAATTCATGTGATAGAATCATTTCAGCCTAAGATGATTTCATCTTCATAAAACTTCGAAATTGACAGGAAGATAACGGGAAATGAGTAACAATTTGTGCTACCCGTAAAGTAGTCCGAGGAAGATGATTTGAAAGATAAGGACGAAATTATTCTTTTCGAGGAAGAGGTAAGTGGTGGAAAAGTGGTGTGCCGCACAACCACTGGATGGGTCTTCAGTAAATCTGGAGTGGATGAACAGCTTCTGCTTTAGTTCGGAGATTCCACATGCTTCACACATATTATTTATTAGCAAATCTTTGATCTAACTTTGAACGAGACGGACAGAAGCGAAGGAGAAGACGACGAACTGTGAGGCGAACAAGAGATAAAAAGCTTGATGAGTGAAGAGAAATGCATATCAATAATTGGCATATAAGAGTCTTGTTGGTGGAGAGATTACTCCAGAGAGAGGCATACGAATCTGTCATTATAACGCACATGAAAAATTTGTCGTATAAAGGAAGAAACCTGCTCGCCGTAGACTGGCAGAGAACTGTCTTCTTTGCTGAAAGATTGTGCAAGAGCGAAACCTATTTTAACGGAATATGCAAAACGTACGAGAAAGCACTGTCTAATTAAATTAGACAGACAAAGCTCAGGAGAGGACATTTGAAGGTAGAGCACAACTGGAGTTACTAAGGATGGCGGATAAAAGGAACGCTACAATAATGTCCACGTCGCATGACGCATCTGCTGATTACCTGATCCTTTGAGTTATGTCATCAGCGCAGCAAATGATCAATGATTACAATTAACCAACGTTGTATGTGGACACAAGCGAACGGACAACATCATGTTTGTCAGGAAGACCAACAAGTTATAGATTTTCGTTCTTTATTGTTTAGGTATATATGGATTTTCTTCCACCTGGTCAGTCAGATGTGTTCGGTGAAGGTATGGTGGATGTACTTTAGAAATGTGTAGAAAATTTGAATAGATGAGTTCAAGACCCAAATCATGTTTCATGTTTCCAAAAAATCACTATTGTTTGTACCAGTTCAAGCGCCCATTTGCATGAACATATCGATACAGTGACAAAGGATTGGAGAAACTGTATCGCGTGTTGTAGGAAAATAACGAAATATCAGGATTTCATATTTCACTTGGAAACTGAAAAGTAATTCAACACTATATATAGCCAAAGCCACAGATTTCTGTGATTAGATATTTTTCTTACAAGAAATGAACTACAGCGGTTTCATATATTAATGACTGAAAATTATACGAAGAAGGTGTATTGGACACGTTTCAAATTGTGATTAATGTAAAGCTATGCATTACCTGTATCACCTGCCGTCCCATTGATTGTCGAATGACTCAAGCGGATGCTCGTAAATCTTCCATTTTTCCCTGTCGCGTGCAAGAGTGCCCCGGTGGGTTCTGCTCGCTCTAGGGACTTGTTGAGCATCATATCCTTCTTTTAGGCTTTTCGTAAAAAAAACTATGAGCATCGGGTCGGCAGTCTTCCTGCACTGCTTATGACATCCCGAAGAACCCAGTCACTAACGGCTCTTGTCCATCGGTTGTCATTCATACGCATTACGTGTCCTGCACACCCTATCTCCGACTGTTCGGTGAAAAGAACGGCATCTTTGATTTTTGATCGTTAACACAGGAACACAGGTTGGAGCATCGGATTCCTTCCATTACTTGTATGTCGCGGGATACTCCTAGCATCTTCCTTTCGACTGCGCGTTCGATAAAGCAGGGTGACCTTTCATCCTGCTTACGCAACGACCAGGTTTCTGACGCATACGTTAGGACAGGAAGTACCGTTGAGTCGAAAAGGTGGGAACGGAGTAGGGTGTTCTTTGTTCTCTTCACTACATCCTCGATGCTCTTGAAAGCTCCCGTAGCCGCTCGTTTTCTACTGCTCAGTTCTGGAGCTGGGTCGTTCATCATATTGTTTATACGACCTAGATAGACATAACTGGAGCATTCGGAGATATTCGTTTCGTTGAGGGTGAATGCGACAGGCGAAACCAATCCTTTTCTCATGAACATCGTTTTGTGAGATTTAGTCGAAGAGCAATCTTTCCACAGGTTTCATCAAAGCCCGCTAGCATTCGTTTCGCTTGGCTAATGTTTGGTGTTATGAGAGCGATATCATCAGCAAGCGAAGAAGAAGTAATTGCTCACCATCGATTTTTGCTGTGTATGGCGAGATAGTATCGCCTTGCCTGACCCCTTTTTTGACGTCGTTGTTAATATCATTGTAGAGTAGTGATATCTTGGTTATTAAATCCTTGTACAGCTCATGAAGAATCTTTATGCACTGAGTAGGGACTCCCTGACTGTCAAGTGTTTCTATGACTGATTCTATCTCAGTTGAGTCAAAGGTCTTCTTTAAACCAATGAAAGGAAGACAGAGCGGTCTTTTGTACTTTCGCGATACTTCGATGAGCCTTGTTACCGTGTGGACTGTCCTTTGTCCAGTGTTCTGTCAATCCTGTTGAGGATCACTCGTGTTGAAAGTTTGTAGATGACAGACAGCATGCAGATTGGGTGATAGTTACCGATATCGAGCAGGTCACCATTTTTGAACAATAACACGGTGTTGCTGGTCTTCCACTGAGTACAGACATTGCATTCAGGCAGGTAACGGGTGAAGAGCCGAGCCAGTGTGCTTGCGAGGACTGGCGGAAGGCTCTTCAGGTGTTCTGATCTTATTTGTCCGAACCTGGTGCTGTTCGGTTTTTACCGAACAAATAACATGTCGGATTTCGGAAGGAAAAACCGATGATACAACATATCCATCCTCCTTTATTTCATATGACGGAGGGTGGATTTGCCTGTCGAAGAGATCTGAGTAGTATTCGTGAATGATTTTCTTTATTGCCTTTCTGGACGCCGTAACTGTTCCGCCTGGACCCCGGAGTGCAATCATCTTGGTCTTGTATTTGGCGAAGCTTCGATGGGTTCTGCGAATGCTTTTCCCAGTCTCTGTAGCTTCGACCATTTCTGCTGTCTTCTCTCTCTATGATCTTCTTTTACCGCCTGTCTGCATTGTTTTGTAAGTTTGGAGGTTAACACGCGGTTGCTTGCAGCTCGTGCGATTCCACGTTGGCGTATCAGCTCGAGAGTTTCTGAAGACAGACGTTTCTTGGTGACTTTCGAACTCTCAGCTTGCATAGCGCTGGCGTGAGGATGGTGAGTGAGTCGATCTTATCGACAGCGGTGTCTTCCAACGGCCGACTAACGAGTTGAATAAGTCCCAGCTTATAGTGGTTTTGCGAGTTCGTTTTTTGAATTTAGCGGCATTTTTTCCTTTCTGTGAGGGATGGAATCTTGCACGAAAGAGGCGGTGATCAGATCCCGTTTAAAATTTTGGGGCAACAGCGACATCGCTTAGACAAAATCTTCGGTTTACTATGACGTCGTGGTCTATTTCGTTATGGTACTCTCCACTGGGAGATTCCCACGTCCAAGGTTAAGGGTTGGGCTTTTAGAATTGCGAGTTACCATGAATGGTCGTGGTGGTCAAACTCCCACACTCAGTCAGTAACCCACCCTCCTTGTACCATACAAATTCGTGACCTCAGTGTGACGTCTTTTAGACGTTTTTCTTGGTCCAATTTTGGCGTGAAATTTTCCAATGATAACCTTGAAGAATGAATGGCTTTCTCTGTGGAACATCTCCAAGTCTATATAGAACGCTTCGACTTCTTCTTCGTCATAGTTTGATGTCGGCGCATAAACGACGAAGATTGTCAAATCTGGTATTGATTCACTTCTTTTTAATCGTAAACGTCCGATTCGGGTTGTAAGTTGTTCGAA